CCATGCCTCCTTCCCTAGCTCACCCCAGCCTTTTACTCCTTCCCTGGCTCACCGACTTGCATTCCTCTCCCCTACCACCTGACCTCTTACTCCTACCTGGCTCCACCCATGCCCTCTTACTCCTTCCCTGGCTCACCCCTTACTCCTTCCTGGCTCACCTCTTACTCCTCTTCCTGACCCTTACTCCTTCCCTGGCTCCCTGATCCCTTACTCCTTCCCTGGCTCACCCATGCCCTCTTACTCCTTCCCTGGCTCACCCCTGACCCTTTATCCTCCCTAGCTCACCCTGCCCTCTTACTCCTTCCTGGCTCACCCCTGACCTCTTACTCCTTCCTGGCTCACCCCTGCCTCTTACTCCTACCCTGGCTCACCTGCCCTCTTACTCCTTCCTGGCTCACCCCTGACCTTTACTCCTTCCTGGCTCACCCCTGACCCCTCTCCTACTCCCTCTCCTCCCTAGCTCACCTGCCCTCTTACTCCTTCCTGGCTCACCTACCCCCTCCTTCCCTAGCTCACCTGACCCCTACTCCTTCCCTGCTCACCTGACCCTTACTCCTTCCCTGGCTCACCCATGCCCTCTTACTCCTTCCCTGTCACCCCTTTTACTCTCCCTTCCCTGGCTCACCCATGCCCTCTTACTCCCTAGCTCACCCCTGACCCTTACTCCTTCCTGGCTCACGCATGCCCTCTTACTCCTTCCTAGCTCTGCTCCTTACTCCCTGGCTCACCCTGCCCTCTTACTCCTTCCCTGTCTTAGACCCATACTCCTCCCTGGCTCACCCATGCCCTCTTACTCCTTCCCTGAGCTCACCCTGACCTTTTACTCCTTCCCTGGCTCACCCATGCCCTCTTACTCCTTCTGGCTCACCTGACCCTTCTCTTCCTGGCTCACCCTGACCACCTCCTTCCTAGTTCACCCATGCCCCTCTTACTCCTTCTAGCTCACCTGACCTTTACTCCTTCCCTAGCTCACCCATGCCCTCTACTCCTTCCTAGCTCACTGACCCTTACTCCTTCCTAGCTCTGACCTCAACCTTCCTAACCCTTACTCCTTCCTGGCTCACTATTTATACTCCTTCTGCTCACCCATGCCCTCTCTCCTTCCTAGCTCACCTTCTCCTTCCTAGCTCACCTTACTCCTTCCTAGCTCACCCCTGACCCCTTACTCCTTCCCTGGCTCACCCATGCCCTCTTACTCCTGGCTCTGTTTACTCCTTCCTGGCTCACCCCTGCCCTCTACTCCTTCCTGGCTCACCTGACCCTTACTCCTTCCTGGCTCACCCATGCCCTTACTCCTTCCCTGGCTCACCTGACCTTCCTCCTTCCTGGCTCACCCCTGACCCTTACTCCTTCCCTGGCCACCCCTTTCACCTCCTTCTGGCTCACCCCTGACCTTTTACTCCTTCCCTAGCTCACCCATGCCTCTTACTCCTTCCTAGCTCCTGACCTTTACTCCTTCCCTGGCTCCATGCCCTCTTCCCTTCCCTGGCTCACCCCTGACCCCTTACTCCTCCCTGGCTCACCCCTACCCTCTACCTTCCTGGCTCACCCCTGACCCTGCCTCCTTCCCTGGCTCCCCATACCCTCTACTCCTTCCCTGGCTCACCCCTGACCTCTTACTCCTTCCCTGGCTCACCCATGCCCTCTTACTCCTTCCCTGGCTCACCCCTGACCCTTACTCCTTCCCTGGCTCCACCCCTGCCCTTTTACTCCTTCCCTGGCTCACCCCTGCCCTCCTCCTTCCCTGGCTCACCTGACCTTTTACTCCTTCCCTGGCTCACCCATGCCCTCTTACTCCCTTCCCTGGCTCACCCCTGACCTGCTCCTTCCCTGGCTCACCCCTGCCCTCTTACTCCCCTAGCTCACCCCTGACCTTTTACTCTTCCAAGCCACGGCCCCTTTACTCCTTCCTCAGCCCCCTGACCTCTTACTCCCTTCCCTGGCTACCCCCTGCCCTCTTACTCCTTCCTGGCTCACCCCTGACCCCTTTACTCCTTCCCTGTCCCCTGCCCTCTTACTCCTTCCCTGGCTCACCCCTGACCCCTTACTCCTTCCCTGGCTCACCCCTGCCCTCTTACTCCTTCCTAGCTCACCCCGGCCCTTACCCTTCCCTGGCTCACCCCTGCCCACTTCCCTTCCCTAGCTCACCCCGAGCCCTTTACTCCTTCCCTGGCTCACCCCTGCCCTCTTACTCCTTCCCACAGCTCACCCCTGACCCCTTTACTCCTTCCCTAGCTCTACCCTCTCCTTCCTAGCTACTACCCTTACACTCTGCCCTACCTACTTCCTTCTCCCCATCACCCAACAACATCAGCATCAGCAAAGTCATAACAACAACATATGGTCATCATAGCAGTCAGCAGGCTGTTTAGATGCAGCTGAACTGGATCAAACTGAACTCAGCAGGGCACTGGGCACTGAACAGCTGGCAGGGTCTTTGGGGACGTCATGGGTGGCTACACTTAGCAAAGTCATAGCATCAATCATCTTCATGCTCAGCACACCATGCAAGTCATTCTACCATCTTGTGCGTCAGCAGCTGTGGCAGGTGCTGTCTTGTACCCTGCCAAGTCAGCTGTTTCAGTCCTTGCCGTCTGCTGTTTGCAAGTCACTCATTTCCTTTAGCAAGTCTTGGTTTGCCACCTATGGATGTTTTCTTTCTTCCATAGCAAGTCTGCTCAGCACACATATATGAGTCATAACAACAGCACTTATTTGCATATAGTTGTACCAACTAACAGCACATAACCATAGCAAATCATGATGTTCTTTGACACTTAAATCATGAATCATACTTTCATGACCATATATAGTTGCTTTCTTTCTTTCTTCCATTTTCTTGAATCATCGATATTTCTTTATACACTACTTCACTGCCCACACCATCACCACTACCACACCCCTGCCCCCACCACCATCACTACTACTGCCCACCACCACCATCACCTACACACACCACCACCACCACCATCACCTACCCCTGCCCACCACCATCACCACTACCCCTACACTCTCACCCTGCCCCACCACCACCACCACACTATTTGCCCACACCATCACCACTACTATCCTGCCCACTACCACCATCACCAATACCTCCTGCCCACCACCATCACCACCTATGATACCCCTGCCCACCATCACCATCACCACTATCTCTCTGCCCACACCTCACCATCACCACATTACCTCTGCCCACCACCCACCACTACTACTATTTGCCCACCTCACCATCACCACTACTATCCCTGCCCACCACCACCATCACCACTACTACCTCTACCCACCACCACCATCACCACTCTATCCCTGCCCACCACACATCACCACTATTACCCCTGCCCACCATCACCATCACCACCTCTACCCCTGCCTCCACCATCTCACCTACTACCCCCTGCCTCCACCACTCACGGGTTCCCTCCTCATGTACCCACCCATATTCATCTCTAAATCTTAAATAACCCTCATTGGCTTTGGCCTAGATCATGTGTGTGTGTGTGTGTGTGTGTGTGTGTGTGTGTGTGTGTGTGTGCGATTATTTAACAGCATTAAATATTCAGTTGTGTTAGTATATCGTGTAGTGAGTGAATCAGTGTATATAGTTAAGCAAGTCAAGTAACACTCGCCCTCAATACTGAAGGTCGTGGCTGGTGAGGACTGTGGCCGAATTATTGACCATCTTCCCAATGGAGTACCCCGGTCAGTGACCTTCTCCTCCTCCTCCTCCTGCCACGGACTTAATATAAATGTTGACCGGTGTAGGAGTTAATATGACAGCTACCATGACTAACTCTTAATGATGATGGTCCAGTCAGCTTTATTACTGAATATATATTTGTTGGTACACACACACACACACACACACACACACACACACACACACACACACACACACACACACACACGCATTAAAACAAAACAAAAAAACAACAACCGGGATCACCTCTTAATTGTGTGAGCGCTGCCGGTAATGTCTCAACACAACACTCGGCCAGGCCCACACCTGTACACGGACACCTCCTCTTCACGCCTCCGACCAATTAACAAGATTGTTAGACAGGCAACGCCCCGTCAACACCACCCTAAGACGGTTAAATGGGGGCTGGTTATGGTGTTGGACGGGTAGGATAGGGGTTAATCTGGGGGGAGTGGCTAGGAGAGGGTAGGGGTGAAGTAGAACTCTTTACCTTTGGCTGGGTACTTGAGGTGCTCGAGGACAACACCTTCAGGTAATATGACACACCTCGCCCCTCTATGGGGAGGTACTGGTGATAGTGAACCTTGCCTAATGGGTCTCACGTAGGTTAGGTTCAAACTTGAGCCTATCAGAACTGGGCCCCATATCACTTGAAATAAGACCAGACAAGTTTAATATATTCTACAACCTACCGGCGTGGTGATGGTGTGGTGTGATAGTGGTGTGGTGTAGTGTGGTGTGTTAATGATGTGGTGTGGTGGTGTAGTGATGGTGTTAGTGTTGGTGTGGTAATTGTGGTGTGGTGGGTGTGGTATGCTTTGGTGTTGTGGTGCAGTGAGTGTGATGGTTGTGTAGTGGATGTGTCGTGCTTTGGTGTTATGGTGTAGTCATGGTGTATCGTTGTGGTGTAGCGTAGTGGTGGAGATTTTATTTGTTGGTGTTGGTTGATATTTTGTCTGGTTGTGTTAGTGGTGTAGTGTGGTGGTGGTTTAGGTGTAGTGCGTGGTGGTGTAGGTATAGCGTGAGTGGATGTAGGTGTAGCGGGTGTAGGTTTAGGTGTAGCGGGTGTAGATGTAGCGTGCGTGGGTGTAGGTGTAGCGGGTGTAGGTGTAGCGGGGTGGGTGTAGGTGTAGCGGCGTGGTGTAGGTGAAGCGGCGTGGGTGTAGGTGTAACGGGCAGGTGTAGGTGTAACGGGCGTGGTGTAGGTGAAGCAGGCGGGTGTAGGTAGCGGGTGTAGTGTAACGGGCGGGTGCAGCGGGCGTGGGTGTAGGTGTAGCGGGTGTGAGTGCAGAGAGTGTAGCTATGGCGGTGTAGAGGGTATAGCTGTGGCGGGCGTAGGAGTATGTGTAGCAGGCGCAGGTGTATGTGTAGCGGCGGGTGTAGCTTGGTGGGTGCAGGTGTGGCGGTGGGTGTAGAGGGTGTAGCTGTGGCGGGTGTAGAGGTGGTGGCGGTGTAGGTGGCGGGCGTGGTGTAGCGGGCGTGGGTGCAGCGGGCGTGGATGTACTGTAGCGGGTGTAGGTGTAACGGGCGGGTAGCGGGCGTGGATGTAATTGTAGCGGGTGTAGGTGTAACGGCGTGGGTATAGGTGTAGCGGACGGGTGTAACGGGCGTGGGTGTAGGTAATGGCGGTGTAGCGTGCGTGCGTAGGTGCAGGAGTAGGTGCAACGGGCGTGGGTGTAGCTTGCGGGCGGGTGTAGCTTTGGCGGGCGTGGGTAGGTGTAGCGGGTGCAGGTGTAACGGGCGTGGTGTAGCTTGGCAGGCGTGGGTGTAGGTGTAGTGGGCGGTGTAGCGTGCGTGGGTGTAGGTGTAGCGTGTAGCTGTGGCGGGCGTGGGTAGGTGTACGGGCGTGGGTGTAGGGTGAAGCGGAGTGGGTGCAGGTGTAGCGGTAGCTGTGGCGGGCGTGGGTGTAGGTAGTGGCGGTGTAGCGTCTGGTGTAGGTGTAGCTGGTGCAGGTAACGGGCGTGGGTGAAGCTTGGCGGGCGTGGGTGTAGGTGTAGGGCGTGGTGTGGGTAGGTGTAGCGGTGTAGCTGTGGCGGCGGTGTAGGTGTAGCGGGCGGGTGTAGCGGGCGTGAGGTATATGGGCGTGGTGTAGGTGTGGCGGGCGTGGGTAGGTATAGCGGGCGGGTGTAGCGTGAGTGCAGCGGCGGGTGTAGGTGTAGCGGTGTAGATGGAAGCGGGCGTGGGTGTAGGTATAGCGGGCGGGTGTAGCGGGTGTGGGTGCAGCGGGCGTGTGTAGGTAGCGGGCGCGTGCATAGGTGTAGCGGGCGGGATGAAGCGTGGGTGCAGCGTGGGTGTAGGGTGTAGCGGGTGAGGTGCAGCGGCGTGGGTGTAGGTGTAGCGGGCGGGCGCAGGTGAGGGCGTGGGTGAAGTGTAGCGGCGTGGGTGTAGGTGTAGCGGTCGTGGGTGTAGGGTAGCGGGCGGGCGTAGGTGCAGCGGCGTGGGTGTAGGTGTAGCGGGTAGGTGTAGCGGGGCGGGTGTAGGTGTAGCGGGCGTGAGTGCAGGAACAAACCTGTCGAACCTGTCGGGGAGATCAGGGAGGGTGCCATACCCGTGAACACAGTGGCATCCTAACGCTGTGTGTCACGAGTACTGAAGGTACATCCGGCACTGTGGCACCTGATTGTGTGCCACAGTGGAGAGGGTGGTGGTGGTGTCCGGGAGGGTGGTGAAGGGGTTGTGAGGGTGGTAGGGGAAAGGGTTGTGAGGGTGGTAGGGGAAGGGGCAGGAGGGTGGTAAAATAGATGATGGGGAGTGGTGAGGGTAGGGGAAGGGGTAGTGAGGGGTGGTAGGGGAAGGCAGTGAGGGTGGTAGGGGAAGGGTAGTGAGGGGTAGGGAAGGGGTAATGAGGGTGGTAGGGAAGGGTAGTGAGGGGTGGTAGGGGGAAGGGGTAGGTGAGGGGTGGTAGGGGAAGGTAATGAGGGTGGTAGGGGAAGGGGTAGTGAGGGGTGGTGGGGAAGGGTAGTGGAGGGTGGTAGGGGAAGGGGTAATGAGGGTAGGGGAAGGGTAGTGAGGGTGGTAGGGGAAGGGGTATGAGGGTGGTAGGGGAAGGGGTAGTGAGGGTGGTAGGGAAGGGGTAGGTGAGGGGTGGTAGGGGAAGGGGTAGGAGGGTGGTAGGGAAGGTAGTGAGGGTGGTAGGGGAAGGCAGGGAGGGTGGTAGGGAAGGGGCAGTGAGGGTGGTAGGGAAGGCTGGGGAGGGTGGTGTCAGGGATGGTAGAGTGGTGAGGTGGTAGGGAAGGTGGTCAGGGTGAAAGGAGAAGTGGTTGTGATGGCGGTAGTGTGGTGGTGAGGGTGCTAGGATGGTGGTAGTGGTGGTGAAGGAGGAAGAGGTGGGGTGGGTGTCAGACTATTACAGCTTACTACATGAAACACCTCAGTTTATGGTCAGCGTCGGTTCCAGCGATTTTCCCGTCAAATATATTTTAAGTAATGCAGGTTAATACATGATGAGTTATGGCTTCTTCCCACCCACCCCACCCACCCAGCCCGTCCCACCCCACCCCAACCCCACCCACCGAGCCCTGCCCCGGCTAAAGCTACCTGCGGCTTGAGGGTGACCCAACCGCTACACTGCCTCTTATCATTGTTTCTAAATTATGTTGTTGAATCGTATTCGTTATCCATAATGTTGTTTTTCTTTTTATCCGCTATTGTCAGATACTATAGTTTGTTGTTTACATTTTTTATGATGATGATGATGATGATGATGATGATGATGATGATGATGATGATGATGACGATAATGATGATAATAAAGAGCGAGAGACAGACACAGAAGGTGATGGTGGATGTCTGAAGACCAAGAAGACGGGTCTGGCAGACAGGAACCCATTATGTGTCTGTGTCTGGCCTAATATGTCCCGGTCATCGTGTCTCTCTCCTCCTGCCGTAGTTTCCCGAAGATGTGATAAGCCGGGAAGTCCTGACAGTGGCTGCTGGACCCCCACACTTCCTGCTGGGGGTGTTAAAAAGGGGTCCTGCTGGCGGTTAGAAGGGTCCTGCCGGGGATGGTAGAGGGGTCTTTCTGTTGAGGTAAAAACACTCTTCTAACCCAGGGCAGTAAACCACAATGTACTGTACAGTAGTAAGTACACTGAAGAATGACTGAAGTAATACCGTATGATACACCGTAGTACTATGTCAGTATAAGCACGATGTGTGTAGTAAATTTTACGACGCGTGTGTACACTAATTACTACTCAATATGTACAGAAGAGAAAAAGTTTGTTTGTACAGTGTTGTTAGTTTACATATACATTACATGACGGTAAAACAATGTGTGTGTTTAGTGGCAGGAACCGTCTCTCTACTGCTCTGCCTCATCACGTGGTGGGAGGTGTGGTATCATTGGACGTAAGTTACCTTTTGTTTACGGGATCAGGTGTAGCTCAGACTAGGGAAGGTGACATGTAATACCGGTGAACGGAAATAAAGTCGCAGGAAAAAGTCACAATTTTGACTTGGAAGAAAAGTCACATTTTATATAAATATCTTTTAACAGTTAAAAAAGATATATATCTTAAGTTACTTATTAACTGACAATACATGACTTGTACACATTGACAACACAATTTATATGATGGCATTACACGTATGTTAGGTTAGGTTAGGTTAGGGTTAGGTTAGGTTAGGTTAGGTTAGGTTAGCTGGGTTAGGTTAGGTTAGGTTAGGCTAGGTTTGCTAGGGTTAAGTTAGGCTAGGTTTGGTTAGGTAGGCTAGTTTAGTTTTTTCTGTGACTTTTTCTGTGAATTTTTTTCCGGATTGGCATTACCTCACTGTTGTGTACTTGTCATGTATCACTCTTGTATCACTTGTATCACCTGTAACACTTGTAACACCTGTATCTCTTTCATCACCTGTAACACCTGTATCACCTGCATCAACTCGTATCACCTGTAACACTTGTATCACCTGTAACACTTGTAAGACTTGTAACACTTGTATCGACCTGTATCACTTGTATCACCTGTGTCGACCTGTAACACCTGTAAACACTTGTAACACCTGTATCGACCTGTAACGCTTGTATCACCTGTAACACCTGTATCGACCTGTAACACCTGTATCGACCTGTATCAACTTGTATCACCTGTATCGACCTAATACTCACCAACTCCCGATTTCGTTATGATGACATTTCTCAACTGACCTTCTCCGACATTCTCAGGCGCCGCACCCAACTCCTGTCGCACCCATTCGCCACCGCAACCATGCCCTCGCGACGCAGTACCTAGCCCCCGCCGTTGCACCCAGCTCCCCGCCGTTGCACCTAGCCCGTTGCCCACTGCCCCCCCCGCTGCCGCACCCAGCCCCCTGTTGCACCCAATCCCCTCGACGCCGCACCCTGCCGCACCTCACATACACTACACCTCCAGGCAGATTATATTGTCGCTTTCACCTTCGTACTTGTGGTTGTTATAGTTCCTGTGGGTGAAGGGCAGTGAAGTGAAGGTGGTGAAGGGCAGGGCAGGGGCAGAGACAGGGCTGTGATGAAGGGCAGTGGTGAAGTGAAGAGGTGGTGGTGAAAGGGCAGAGCAGGGCAGGGCTGTGATGAAGTGAAGGGCAGCGGTGAAGTGAAGGAGGTGGTGAAGGGAAGAGCAGTGATAAAGGGAAGGGTAATGGTAAAGGAAGTGCTGTGATAGAGGAATGGCAGGACACTGATGAAGAGCATGGCAGGGCAGTGATGACGGGAAGGGTAGTGGTGAAGGGAAGTGCAGGACACCGGTGAAGGACAGGGCAGGACTGGGCAGGGCAGGGCAGGGCAGGGTAGGGCAGGGCTGGGCAGGGTAGTGGTGAGATAACTAGTAATCATCAACTTACTATCAAAAGATCCTGGTGTGGGTGGTGGCGCCTGTGTCTGTATGCTGATGGTATTGGTCCACTGTACAGTATGTAGTGATTTCGCCTCACCTGATGTTTGCCTCCCCGCCCTCCCTTCCTACCCCATACTCCACCTGATTATTAAACACTCTAACACTATCTCCAGGTTTAGGTTAGGTTAGGTTAGATGAGCTTTATATTAGGTTAAGATAGCTGTAGGTTAGGTTAAGTTATAAGCTTTATGTTAGGTTTTGGTTAGATACGCTTTATGTTAGGTTTGGTTAGATAAGCTTTATGTTAGGTTTGGTTAGATAAGCTTTATGTTAGGTTTGGTTAGATAAGCTTTATAGTTAGGTTTGGTTAGATACGCTTTATGTTAGGTTTGGTTAGATAATCTTTTATGTTAGGTTAGGTTTGATAATCTTTATGTTGGGTTTGGTTAGATACGCTTTAGGTTAGGTTTTGTTAGATAATCTTTATGTTAGGTTAGGTTAGATAAGCTTTATGTTAGGTTAGCTTAGATAAGCTTTATGTTAGGTTTGGTTAGATAAGCTTTATGTAGGGTTTGGTTAAATGCTTTTTATGTTAGGTTTGGTTAGATAATCTTTATGTTAGGTTAGGTTAGATAAGCTTTATGTAAGTTTAGTTGAATGCGCATGTTAGGTTTGGTTAGATAATCTTTATGTTAGGTTAGGTTAGATAAGCTTTTATGAGTTTGGTTAGATACGCTTTATGTTAGGTTTGGTTAGATAAGCTTTATGTTAGGTTTGGTTAGATACGTTTTTATGTTAGGTTTGGTTAGATAAGCTTTATGTTGTTACGTTTGGTTAGATAAGCTTTATGTTGGGTTTGGTTAGATAATCTTTATGTTAGGTTAGTTAGATAAGCTTTTATGTTAGGTTTGGTTAGATACGCTTTATGTTAGGTTTGGTTAGATAAGCTTTATGTTGGGTTTGGTTAGATAATCTTTATGTTAGGTTAGGTTAGATAAGCTTTATGTTAGGTTAGGTTAGATAAGCTTTATGTTAGGTTTGGTTAGATAAGCTTTATGTTAGGTTAGGTTAGATAAGCATGTTAGGGTAGGCTAGATAATCTTTATGTTGGGTTAGGTTAGATATGGTTTATGTTAGGATAGTTAGATAAGCTTTTATATTAGGTTAGGTTAGATAAGCTTTTTGTTAGGTTAGGTTAGAATAAGCTTTATGTTAGGTTAGGTTAGATAGCTTTGTGTAGGTTAGATAAGCTTTGGATTGAGTTAGATAAGCTTTATGTTAGGTTTGGTTAGATAAGCTTTATGTTGGTTAGGTTAGATAATCTTTGGGTTAGGTTAGATAAGCTTTATGTTGGGTTAATTAGGTTAAATAAGCTTTATGTTGGGTTAGGTTTGATAAGCTTTATGTTAGGTTTGGTTAGATAAGCTTTATGTTAGGTTAGGTTTGATATCTTTATGTTGGATTTAGGTTAGATACGCTTTATGTTAGGTTAGGTTAGATAATCTTTATGTTGGGTTGGGTTAGATAACTTTTATGTTAGGTTAGGTTGAATCTATACATGTTGGGTTAGGTTTGAATAATCTTATGTTGGGTTAGGTTAGATACGCTTTATGTTAGGTTAGGTTAGATAATCTTTATGTTAGGTTAGGATTCTGGATTAGATTGGGTTTTTAGTTAAGTTTGATTGGGTTAGGTTAGATACTTTATGTTAGGTTTGGTTAGATAACTTTATGAGTTTAGTTAGATAAACTTTATTAGGATTGGTTAGATAAGCTTTTATGTTAGGTTAGCAGTAATATAGCTTTTATGTTGGGTTTGGTTGAATAAGCTTTATAGCAGGTTTGGTTAAATGGCTTTATGTTACGTTTGGTTAGATAAGCTTTATGTTGGGTTTGGTTAGATAATCTTTATGTTAGGTTAGGTTAGATAGCTTTATGTTAGGTTTGGTTAGATACGCTTTATGTTAGGTTTGGTTAGATAAGCTTTATGTTAGGTTTGGTTAGATAATCTTTTGTAGTAGGTTGGGATAGATAAGCTTTATGTTAGGTTAGGTTAGATAAGCTTTATGTTGGTTTAGGTTAGATAAGCTTTATGTTAGGTTAGGTTGAATAGCTTTATGTTAGGGTAGGCTAGATAATCTTTTATGTTAGGTTAAATGATCTTTTAGTTAGATAAGTTAGAATCAAGTATCTTTATGTTGGTTAGGTTAGATAAGCTTTATATTTAGGTTTGGTTAGATAAGCTTTATGTTAGGGTAGGTTAGATAATCTTTATGTTAGGATTGGGTTAGAATGCTTTATGTTGGGTTAGGTTAGATAAGCTTTATATTAGTTAGGTTTGATAAGCTTTATATTGATTAGATATTGGATTAAGTTAGAATAATCTTATATGTTAGGTTAGGTTAGATACGCTTTATGTTAGGATTTAGGTTAGATACGCTTTATGTTAGGTTAGGTTGAATACGCTTTATGTTAGGTTAGGTTAGATAATCTTTATGTTAGGTTAGGTTAGATACGCTTTATGTTAGGTTAGGTTAGATAATCTTTATGTTAGGTTAGGTTAGAACTAGGTTAGATACGCTTTATGTTAGGTTAGGTTAGATAATCTTTTATGTTAGGTTAGGTTAGATAAATTGGAGTTAGATAATCTTTATGTTAGGTTAGGTTAGATACGCTTTTATGTTAGGTTAGGTTAGATAATCTTTATGTTGGAGTTAGGTTAGATAAGCTTTATGTTAGGTTAGGTTAGATACGCTTTATGTTAGGTTAGGTTAGATAATCTTTATGTTAGTTAGGTTAGATAAGCTTTATGTTAGGTTAGGTTAGATACGCTTTATGTTAGGTTAGTTAGATAATCTTTATGTTAGGTTAGGTTAGATAATTTATGTTAGAGTTAGGTTAGATACGCTATTCCAAAGTTTTGAAGGTGAAACGAGCTGGTGTAGCTAATCAACAGGAAATACTTTTAACTAATACTAACTATAATAATACCGTTGCTTAGACATACTGTTATGATGAGCAGACCTGACCCACATATATTCACTCGCTGTGTTGTTTATTGCTGGCGGCAGGATGTCATTACGTAAAGATCAGGTTTACGAATAGCAGAGGTTCCTATTTGCCCTGAGGATCCTCCCCCCCTCCTCCCATTCCAAGCATTGAATTGAATTTAATTGTAACAGTTTATTTAGCCATAAAAACACAGATACAGAGTGGATAATGGCTGAGCAGTTGAGGAGCACAGGCTCCTGAGGCATCTGATATATACTGTACATTTTATGTAACTGTTATCATCTGGAATAGTACACATAGCCTGGTGGTAATAAGAACATATCAGTAGGTTACCACGGTTATCACTTCGATATTTATTTTATTTATAAGCAAGGTCTCATAGTCGCGTATATTCATCAGCCTCCGGGTCACTCAAGTTAAACATACAGGACAGGTCGCTCAGTCATCACTCCAGGTCACAGTCACCGATAGGTCACTCTGATCATCATCTCAATCCTCAGTAGGTCTAATCATCACTGCTGAGTCACTCATTTCCCCAATGGGTCTGGGGTGTTACCATCACAGCTGGTCCTAATAACGAGGCGTTAATGGGTCATCGAGAGTTAATGGATGAACGAAACTAGTTAAAGGGTGAAAAATTAGTGGGTGATCGTGCTCCAGGTAATCACCATAGCTGGCAGGTGTTGTAATGATTCACGCAGGTAATAGTGTGCGATAGTTGCCGCAACACTTTCTAATAGCCAGGGGAGTCTTCCCCTGGGGGCGTGGGGGCCTGGGGATGGGACACGGGGGTGGCACCGAGCAACATGGTAGGAGGGACCTGTGGGAATAATGCTGGGCTGGGGGAGGACCAGGTTGATAACATTGCGTGACAGCCGCGAACCTCACGTCACACCCTTCGTCACACCTCTCACGTTATCTCCCTCGCTACGTCGTCCCGCCACCCTTCACATCCACCCTTCGTCCCGCTACCCTCTCTTATCTCCCTCACGCTACGTCCTGCCCCACCCTTCCACATCACACCCTTCGTCCACATCACCATCTGTTGCAGTATGACCTGAACCGTGTATATGTATCCATATATCTAGATGTATGACGTAATATCTTAGGACCTGAATATATATATCTTAAGACCATATGTATCTTAAGACCATGTATATGTATCTTAAGACCGTGTATATATATCTCAAGACCGTGTAAATGTATCTTAAGACCAAGTAGCCTGTCTGTATCTCTAGGCAGGGTATATGTATCTCAAGAACAGTGTATATATCTTAAGACAGTGATATGTATCTTAAGACCATGTATATGTATCTCCATGTATCTCAGGCTGATGTCCTGCTGTATCTTAAGATATATATGTATCTTAAGACCCAGTAACTATCTTAATATCTCTCAGGCAGTCTTATCTAATATATGTATCTTAAGACGTATATGTATCTCAAGACCGTGTATCTGTATCTTCAGGCGGTGTATATGTATCTCCAGGCGGTGTATATGTATCTCAGACGGTTATATGTGTCCAGTGTGAGGTGGTGAGGAAAGATGTAGTCAAGGTCGAGGTGGACTAGTAACTGAAACTCGAGGAGAAGGAATGTTGATCGTGTCCTTGTAAGATGCTGTGTTGACAGGCTGTAGTGGTGAGGTCTACCTACAGGTGTATTGGGCTGTAGTGGTGAGGTCTACAGGTGTATTGGGCTGTAGTGGGAGGTCTACCAGGTGTATTGGGCAAAGTGGTGGTAGGTCTACAGGTGTATTAGGGATCTGGGCTGTAGTGGTGAGGTCTAAGATTGTATTGGGCTGTAGTGGTGAGGTCTACAGGTGTGGAGCTGTAGTGGTGAGGTCTACAGGTGTATTGGGCTGTAGTGGTGAGGTCTACAGGTGTATTGGGCTGTAATGGTGAGGTCTACAGGTGTATTGGGCTGTAGTGGTGAGGTCTACAGGTGTATTGGGCTGTAGTGGTGAGGTCTACAGGTGTATTGGGCTGTAGTGGTGAGGTCTACAGGTGTGTCTAGGCTGTAGTGGTGAGGTCTACAGGTGTATGGGCTGTAGTGGTGAGGTTCTACAGGTGTATTGGGCTGTAGTGGTGAGGTCTACAGGTGTATTAGGGCTGTATGTGGTGAGGTCTACAGGTGTAGTGAGGCTGTAGTCGTGGGGCTGTAGTGGTGCAGTGTGCTGGGGTTGTAGTGGTGAGGTCTCCTACCCAGGTGTGCTGGGGCTGTGTGGGTGAGGTCTCCTACAGGTGTACTGGGGCTGTAGTGGCGAGGTCTCTTTCAGGTGTACTGGGGGCTGTGTAGTGGCGAGGTCTCCCTACAGGTGTACTGGGGCTGAATGTAGTGGCAGGTCTCTTACAAGTGTACTATAATAATAATTAACGGATTATAATGAACTGCATATAATGGAAAACAGAAAAATAATTAATGGGAATGGGTCTGTTGATTAACAAATAATACAAATAACATAAGTGATATCAGTATGATGTAATAATAACTAGGTGGGGAGAAGGTTATACTACAGGGTATTTCAACATAGTGACAGTGCAAAAAGGTAAGATTGACTGGGAGTGAATACACTGGTTGATTACAAGTTATTGATAATTTTTACAATGGTTGGGACTGGGCTGTTCGTATAGCGATCAGTACGTGCTCGTATGTGCTGAACCATGTTGTGGTCGTCGAACAGCATTTGCCGTACGAGATTTCGGTGGCAGGCCGGTGTCGACAGTGCAGAGCTTCTATAAGTTCCAGAATGACGTCGCAATGCAATTAGAAGCCGAGGAATCAAAATATCAGAAGTATAAGGAGGGCGAATAATCTTGCACCTTTTGCACTTTTTCTAGGTGTTTACGTTGTGTGGCATTTGGGAGGAAGACCAGGTAAGGAGGCATCGGTGAGCTTGAGAAGTATGAATGTTGAAGTAAACACTGGGGAGCTCTGTGCAGGAACACCGGGGACTTTAGTCGGCGGAGGAGGTGGAGCAAACTGGAGGATTTGACACTTCGACAGTGTTTTTCCAATTTAGATTGTTGTCTATGGTGACGCCAAAAGCAATAAATCAACCTGGAATGTGTTGGGGCCTAAAGTAATGGAAAGGGGCGGGAATAACGTCGGAGGAAGGTTTATGTGCATAACCATAGTCTTGGCATGGTTGATGGTCACGTGGTTGTTGGTGGCCCAATTTTGGAGACTATTCAATAAATCCTGGAGGGCGGTATAATCGGGAAGACAGAGTTATGACACTGATCCCAATGGTGGAGTCGTCGACATATTTACAGCGAGCAGGGGTTTCTCTTAGGGCATAATTGATAAGCTTAAGGAGCAGAGCGGTATCTTGGTGCCATCAGAGGACGCCACAGGCGAAATAACTGAATGAATGGAGACAGCCCTTCGGAAATGTACGGCTTGGCGTTCGTCACTGAAGTCTGTGAGCAGCCAAGACTTCTTCGAAACCAGGTCGATAGCTTTGTTGGTGATTAAATTGGCGATGACTAGGTCAAAAGCTTTGGTGAAGTCAATGAAGGCGACAACACAGACGTTTTCGTTTTCCAGATGGCGGTATATGCACTGTATGTTGGCTGCCAAGACAGTGAGTGGTGGGAGAAATTTCATATTACCAAATGCTGAGGTGTGCTGGAGCCAATCGGTGGTCTACAGGTGTACTGGGGGCTGTGTAGTGGTGAGTTCTCCTACAGGTGTACTGGAGCCGTGTAGTGGTGAGGTCTACAGGTGTACTGGGGGCTGTGTAGTGGTGGTCTACAGGTGTACTGGGGGGCTGTATAGTGGTGAGATCTCTACAGGTGTACTAGGGCTGTATAGTAGTGAGGTCTCCTACAGACAGTGCACTAGGGCTGTGTAGTGGTGACGTCTGCAGGTCTACTGGGGGCTGTGTAGTGGTGACGTCTACTTCAGCTAGTCTGGGAGACGTGTGTAGCAAGACAGTTCCCAACAGGTAATTCAGTCCCCAGCATACGACCCTGCATCTGGAGGTTGTCCAGCGACCTACAAACTTAATGTTGTTTATAGTGTTGTGGTTGTAGTGTAGTTATAGTGTCGTAGTTGTGGTTTGTGGTATCCAATTTATAGTGTTGTAGTTATGGTTGTGGTGTAGTTATAGTGTTGTAGTTATGGTTAGTGGTGTAGTTATAGTGTTGTAGTTGGTGTTGTGGTTGTGATTGTGGTTATAGTGTTGCAGCTATGTTTTGTGGTGTAGTTATAGTGTTGTAGTTGTAGTTATGGTTTGTGGTGTAATTAATAGTAGTTGTAGTTGTGGTTTGGTGTAGTTTAATGTTTTAGTTGGTGTTGTGGTTGTGGTGTAATTATAGTGTTGTAGTTAGTGTTGTAGTTTAATGGTGTAATTATAGTGTTGTAGTTGATTGTTGTGGATTTGTGGGTATGAATTCATAGTAGTTGTAATTGTGGTTGTGGTGTAATTATAGTGTTGTAGTTGGTGTTGTGGTTGTGGTCAACAATTATAATTGTTTAATGGATTTATTGGGTGTAGTTATAGTGTTGTAGTTGGTGTTGTGTAGTTATAGTGTTTGTAGTTGGTGTTGTGGTTGTGGTGTGGTTATAGTGTTGTAGTTGGTGTTGTGGTTGTGGTGTAGTTATAGTGTTTGAGTTGGTGTTGTGGTTGTGGTGTAGTTGCTGATGTAGTTGTGGCATTGTGATTGATGTTGTGGTTGTAGTGTTATGGTTGTGGTAGTGTTGTGGTTGTGGTTTGTTTTTGGTTTGTGTTGTGGTTGTAGTGTTATGGTTTGTAATGTTGTGGTTGTAGTATTGTGTTTGTAGTGTTGTGGTTATAGTGTTATGGGTATAGTGTTGTGGTTATATTGTTATGGGTATAGTGTTATGGTTTTAGTGTTATGGTTGATGTTGTAGTTGGTGTTGTGGTTGTGATGTAGTTGTGATATTGTGATTGATTTTGTAGTTGTAGTGTTATGGTTGTTTTAAAGGTGTTGTAGTTGTAGTGTGTTGTGGTGTTGTGGTTGGTGTGTTGTGGTTAGAGTGTGTTGTGGTGTTGTGGTTGTAGTGTGTTGTGGTGTTGTGGTTGTGTTGTGAATTAGAAAGTGAATCGGGACCTAGTGCTTATAAGCGTGTTTAGTTATCAGGTGAAAGGTGGTGGTGATGTTGGAGATGATGGTGGTGATAATGGCGATCGTGGTGATGATTATGGTGTTGATGGTGGTGACGATGATGGTGTTGATGGCGGTGACGATGGCGATGGTGGTGTTGATGGTGATTAGTCGTCGATACTATTTTTTTATTTTGCCGGTAGCTAATCCTCCTGACGATACCTGTGTTAGCCCATACCAGTGTTGACCCATACCTGTGTTGTACCTGTCTTGTTCATTCCCACTCTGAGGCCCCACGAGACAACAGCCCATTAACATCCTACACGGAGTACCTGGAGGAGGGAGGGAGGGGGAGGGAGGAGGGGAGATATCTGAGTCCTGTAGTTGCCTCAGGTTTTTATCGGCTTCTTGTTCAGGTGAGATGATCGATGTAGATTTAATTAGTGAGCAGTTATCAGTGTGTGTGCGTGTGTGTGTGTGTGTGTGTGTGTGTGTGTGTGTGTGTGTGTGTCTTCATCATGAGTTAAGAGGCGTAGAAGCCTGAAGGAGTCAAGGGCGTAGAAGCCTGGAATCAATGGTTTATGTCTAAGCAAGTTATTAAAGCTCAACAACTTGCCCTGAATCTGAATTCGCAACTTTCGATTTACACCAGGTACCTACTTTGCTGTTAGGTGAACAGGGATGCCACCGGTAACAGCTACTGGTCACAGAATACCACTCAAGGGAGATCAGAAAGAGAGTCGCAGAAGGTCAAGGGAGATCAGAAGAGTCACAGTCCAGGAGATCAGAAGAGTCACAGAAGGTCAGGGAGATCAGAAGAGTCACAGAGGTCAGGGAGATCAGAAGAGTCCAGGTCAGGAGATCAGAAGAGTCACAGAAGGTCAGGAGATCAGAAGAGTCGCAGAAGGTCAGGGAGATCAGAAGAGTCACAGGTCAGGGAGATCAGAAGAGTCACAGAAGGTCAGGGAGATCAGAAGAGTCACAGAAAGTCAGGGAGATCAGAAGAGTCACAGGTCAGGGAGATCAGAAGAGTCACAGAAGGTCAGGGAGATCAGAAAAGTCACAGGTTAGGGAGATCAGAAGAGTCACAGAAGGTCAGGGAGATCAGAAGATTTAAAGAAGGTCAGGGAAATGAGAAGAGTCACAGGTCAGGGAGATCAGAAGAGTCACAGAAGGCCAGGGAGATCAGAAGAGTCACAGAAGGCCAAGGAGATCACAAGAGACCCAACAGTCAGGTATGGACCACAGAGACCATTACGAGAAAGATCAGACCAGTAGTCCCGCAGGAGGTAGATACTGTGGTGCTCCTCCTCCGTGAACCAGCGACTGAGGACTACAAAAGCTTTACCTTACCTCAACAGAGACGTGAATGGCTCTCATTGTGGAGGTGAACATCTGACTGACGAAATATTTACCCAATGATGTATACCGTCTTAACTTAAAGGAACTCTACCTGTGTAATTTATTAAGAAAACACAAGAAAAACAATAATATTAAAAATATATATATTTACGACACAAATTATAAATATTATCGGGGAAAGTAACGTAGACAGGTCTTATACAAGTGAAGAGAAATCGTGGTGAAAATATCTGCTGCCGTCAATGAAGTCTTTGAGTGATTCTGAGAAGGCCGGGAAGGAGCCAGCAGCTGGGCCAGGCCTTAGAGAATGACGCTCGGATGTACGACTCCGCCGCACACTAAAATGTGACCCAGATTAGTGGTGCATGATATTTAACTCGTGTTAAAAGGATATGTAGTAATGTATGGTGACCCAGATGGCGGGACAGAGAGGGAAACTTGACCTATTACCTTGAAAAGAGAATTAAAATTAAAATACACTCGCCACCACCACCACCATTACCCACTGCCACCGCCGCCGCCACTGTGTTTGGTGACTCCGACGATAAGAACAAAAACCAGAATAGATATATAAAGTTATGTTAATGTTAAAGTCTCCTTGGATTTATCTAACAGATTATATGATAATTTTGTCCTCCAGTCCACCGAGTTATTGAGGGTCTGGTGCCGTACCTTGTGGCAGGAGTGTGGTAAACATTCTAAAAGTTTTGTTGAAATATTTAATTATTTATTTAATTTTTTGTTGCTTTTCCTTTTTTTTCTGAGTTTGTAAGTAAAGGATTTTTTTTTAAAGTAAACCCACAATAGTTTTCTATTTAATACGCTAATAAAGTAAATATGTGTTGTAACTTTAAGTATTCTGGTCTGGGAAAACTCGAGGAATTTAATCTTGTTTTTCCTGCCATGTGATCAATGGTTCTCCGTTAATAATACTTTCCTCTCTCATGACACATTTTCATTATCAGTAAAACCAGAGAAAATATGATGGTGCAAAAACCATCTTTTCCAGAAACTTATTTTTCTTCTCAGCATTACAAAGGAAGAGT